AGAGAGAGGGGGGGGGTACACACACACTTATTGTGATTTTAAATTCTTCGTCAATTCTTTTAAAATTATATCAGGATATCCTGCTGGGTTTCTTTATCATTCGGTGACAATTTTTTTTTGTCTTGCACGCTACAAAGTTTCTAGCCCAGAGGCAAGTATAAAAAAGTAACATCTTAATGGGGGAAAAGGGAATGGGGAAAAAAGAGACATATTGTTATCACAAGTATCAACATTAAAACTGTTCAATTCCCTTTAAAAGAACATTATTTGATTCATATTCTTATGCAGAAGAGCAGTGTGAGAATAAAAATGCCAATCTCGCTTTTCGTTGATGTTTACTCCAAGATATTTGTAGAAGTTTACAGCCTTTAAACTTATTTTAATGAATAGTGCTTTTTTAATTTGTCTTTTAAAAACTTACAAAGTTTATTTTCAGTTCAATTCAATGCAATTCAACTCAATTCAATTCAGTTCAAGAGAGAGAGAGAGAGAGAGAGAGAGAGAGAGAGAGAGAGAGAGAGAGAGAGAGAGAGAGAGAGAGAGAGAGAGAGAGAGAGAGAGAGAGCGTGGGAAGGATTTTATACCGTGTTTGACGGTGACATAAAGCTTCTTTTACCTTCTTGTGCACAACTACCAATTTGGCATCTCTGTGTATCCTTTTAACTTTCGTTTTCGGAACGTTTTTCATAAAAGAAGTATTACGTGTTAGTTTTGAAAAATGTTCATGATGAAAGGTAAATTGGTTGAACATTGTTCCTAAAAATAGTACAGGCTTAAAATCTTGACATGATTTGGATTGATCTGTTCAGTAAAGTTTTTGCGTTAACGTTTTTTTGTTTGTTTGTTTATTTGTTTGTTTGTTGTTGTTGTTGTTTTTTTTTACCAAAACCGTTCCTGGTACCTGGCCTTTCACGGAAGCGGAAATAGGTGGTAAGGTTCATTGTTGGGAAAACAGAAGAAAGAGGCCCTGCAGGGAACCGAGCAAAATGTCCACTTTGGAAGGCCTGTGACTTTGCATGATCTTGGATGATTGAACGTGTTACTACTGTTACCGAAAACTAGGTATGACGAAGGAGCATTTGTCAGTCTACTACTAGTGTAAAAGGTAGGACCATTTTTTTTATTTGAAGGAGTGTTAAGTGTATTAAAACTGGAATGTCATGTCATAGATAGCAGCAACGACAACAACATTATCATTGTCGTTGTTGTTGGGACGATTGTCGATAGGCTGAAAGTAAGTGAAAATGAAAAGGCTAACAAAGAGTTTTGAATTCTAAAATATAAACTGAAACGGTCATGGATATGGTGTGAAGTGAGACAGAGAAGTGGATAGGCGCACGTGAGTCAGAGCCTTATGGCAACAATGTGTTCTCTAGCTCTAGAACTAGATCTAGAGTCTAGATCTAGAGTCTAGTTTTGTCAAAAGTTTGTTGTTTGATCCTGGCTACCTCTTCTATTCTATTCTCACCCCGGCGCAGGCGAGCCTTTTGGCTATTCTCACCCGGTGTGCAATCACCGTGATAGCCTTGGCCAACCAGTGTAGCGTTCACCGTGAACCACAGAATTCTATACCGTGATAACATAAGTAGAATTCTGTGCCTTCAACAGAGTAGCCTAAAAACACGCAAAACAGCCCAGTACGTCACATTCAACGCAAAATTCTTGTGCGTCACCGGACGCTGAAGGCAATGACTACTTTCGTTTTTCTGTTTCCCCCGTTGCTTCCGTTGTTCTGGGGACGCGGGTAAGGGGAAGTCACTCAAGAAAACAATTATATCCGGGCACATTTGATGACCCGTTCAAAACAAAAGTGGGCGAAATTCGGACTTCCGGCACGTCACAAGTTGACGACAATAACGGCGAATGTTAAACATCCGACCGAAATCGTAGATCTAGGAACCCGATGTTCCTATCGCGGCTTTTGAAGTATTGAATAAACGACGATAGGCAAAGAGATTTAACCAGCTACGGTGATTCTACTGAAAAATAATGGTGTTTTCTGAAACACCTAGTCCGTGACGACACGACAGACGCACAAGTAATCCGAATTGTTCGTCTATTTGCAAACAAATAAACCGATTTCTTGAGCAAGTTAACCTACAAATAACATAGGATCAAAGCACACATAAAAAAACACACCCCAAAATACTAAATTTGGACATTCTTGGAAGTTTGCATTGGTGTGCTCAAAATGACACTTCAGGAATCACTAAAAAACGAACATTTTTGGCACAAAATTTACAAACTCAAGATTGTAAAGCTGACAAGGGGTCTGAAACTGCTAATGCAGGTTCTACATCCTATATTTGACGTGTGTATACGTTTTGGAGGAATAAATACTAATGCATCACATTTTATGCACACTAATGTGAGATGTGTGTGTTTTTCCCCACGTTTTGGCAATGGCAATGGCTCATCTTTAAGCCTGCATGAAATTTATTTCCTTTGGATATGATAAAAAGACTTTCTGCATACAAAAAAATCGGGGAGGAGAGATCACATTCTTGCGTTAGGCCTATCGATCGATGTCGACGGTTCTCTCGATCCTGTTATTCCCCCGACCTAGATCTACATGGACTCGTCAGTTTCGTGCCACGGAACAAGAATTATAATACTACATAGTTATAGCAAAGATAGTAAATCGTAGGGTGTAGTATCTTTGGTTATAGTAGCTTACATAAATTCATAGAATGACTTTCTCGTTAGCAAGGAACAAAATATAGATTAAATCTAAAGAATTGGTGACTGAGGGGTCTTTTTTTATGTATGATTACTAGTATTTTCTACCAATTTTGTACCGGTACGGAGATGGGTAAACTTCTGAAAGAAAAAGCATTGTGGACACCGAGCTGGAGCCACAACCACGTTCTTGGGGGGGGGGGCATCTGGTGTATTTCAAATGCTAAGGAGGTTCAAGCAAAATTTGAAAAATTCAAATGAACCCAACATGGTCAGTACACTTTCTCTTGTCTTCTGTTCCATTTCAGATGTTTGTTTACTTTCTTTCACTATCTGTTTTTTGGTGCCTGTACACAGAGCACTCCTGGTATGTTATTTTATACAATTATACACAAAAATATTGCAAGAAAAGTTAATGGATATCCCATTTTAGTAACATACCCAGGGTACCTTTTCAACCTTTTCGCTCACAGTGATAAAAGAGCCTTTCATGCAAAGAAAATAACAAGAGATTTGGAATCTGCAGGAAAAAATACAAAAGATAGCCAAGTTTCATAGATATATTTTTAAAAATAAAAAAGTTGCAGGAGTTTGAATGTTGGCCGCGAGTCCTTGGCCTAAAATTTCTATGAATTTTTTTACACATTTCCCCTGATATTTTAAAAACTACTGCAGATACATCAAATATCTTTATAGATATAGGTTCTGCAGGAAAAACTACAATAGGCTGCCAAGTTTCATTCATGTATTCCGTTTATTACAGAATTTATGATAAAAAATGCCTCAAAACACCCAAAAATGTGGACCGTGTTTTGGGATTTTTTCCTTATATGAAAGTCACCCCCCCAAAAATTCATTTAAAAAATCATAACTTTTTTTTATTTATGAACGAATTTTCAAAATTCAAAAACCGTGATACTCAGCAGAGATAAGGCTATCATATGCACATTGTTTTGTTGGCTTTAGAGCAAAAAAAAATTTTTCATGGTTCTTGCTAAAACAATACAATCCATGAATATCACCAAATTCTGTATAAATAATCAGGGTTGGGTTGATTTAAATCAGTTGATTTTTATAAATTTAAATCAACTTGATTTTTAAAATAAAAATCAGTGATTTTCACTTTTTTTTAAATGTATTTTTATTCAGTTTTTACATATTTCAACATTCAGAATTCCTTTCCTTGGTTTCATAAAACAGATATAAGGTTTAGTACACTAATATAATCATGCTTAAAAGTCTGCTTTCCCCCCTTTCACTGTAAAATGATACAGTATTCAATTTTTTCCCCCCCCCCATAATTGAAATCAGAGCTGGGTTGATTTAAATCAGTTGATTTTTTAAATTTTAATCAACTTGATTTTGTGATTTAAATCACTTTTTTTTAAATGTATTCTGTTTTTACATATTTAAACATTCAGAATTCCTTTCCTTGGTTTTATTTAACAGATATAAGGTATAGTAGACTAATATAATCATGCTTAAAAGTCTGCTTTCCCCCCTGTCACTGTAAAATAATACAGTATTCAATTTTCTTTCTTTTCATAATTGAGAACCAGGGTTGGGTTGATTTAAATCAGGTGATTTTTAAAAATTTAAATCAACTTGATTTTAAAAATAAACCTCAGTGATTTAAATCACTTTTAAAAAATGTATTGTTTTTACGTCTTTAAACATTCAGAATTCCTTTCCTTGGTTTTATAAAACAGATATAAGGTTTAGTAGAGTAATATAATCATGCTTAAAAGTCTGCTTTCCCCCCTGTCACTGTAAGTAGTAAATTAATACAGTATTCAATTTACTTTTTTTTTCATAATTGAAATTAGCATTTTCTTTTTCTTTTTAGACAAACACAAGCGCGCACACACACACACGCACACTGTAATAAAATACAAGTTTATCTATGCATAATTACCCCCTCCCCCCTCCCCCCCTTTCCTTTTAGACTGACATTTTCTCCATTTTTTGTCTGTAGCCATAATTCACTGATAATAGCAGATTAAGGCTTTCTTTTGCAGTTGCTTATATTAATCATTAGTTAAAATAAAGACAATGCATTCTGCACTAAAAGAACATACTTTTAGCCACCAAAAATCCCAAACTGTGTCGACATTTTAAAAATTTTTTAAAAATTTTAAAAAATCCGATTTAGATTTTTAAAAAATCTGATTTAAATTAAAAAATTTTTTTTTTTTTTTTGATTTAAAAAATCAAAAAAATCACCAACCCTGATAATAATCCATTTATTTGAATTCACTGTCCACAAAAATCATTATGTACACAATATATGTAAATAATAAAAATAAACAGTAAAAAAGGAATAAATTACTAAAAGAAAAAGAAAAAAAAAATCAGTTGAAGAAATGGCTCACAACTTTGGAACCGCCTATAAGACAGCTACCACTTTCCCGCTAAATAGCGGAAACTCCGCTTCATCTAGCTTGTCCCGCTACTTTCCTCCTTCCTCCACGGGACCGCTCTTGTTTGCAAATTTTGATACTTTTTTTTTTTTACCCGCGGAAAACACCGAACCGGGAGAGAGACGAAAACGCTGCTTGCGCATGTCCGCCGGTAGCTTTCTACTTCCGTTCTTTTAGGCCCAGCGCAAGTTTCACATTGTTTATTGTGGAGCAGCACAGTGTCGATCGGGCATCGGGACGTTGGCGCGCAGAGTTGTCTTTGAAAACGGCGGAAATTTGAGAGAAATTTATGCAGAGTGCAAAAATAAAAGGAGCTGGAATGAGAAGGAAAGAAGCAGCTGGTGTGCAACTTGAAAAGTTGATTAGAAAATTGAACTAGCCGCTTGCTGCACTTTGCTGCGTTTGGTGCGCTAAAGAAACTGCGTACCGCGGCACTCCTGCACAATTGCGGTCCCGTTTGTTAACATGACGGCTATTGTGGCTATGGAAGTGAATCTAGATCCAGATAATCTATATATAATCTAGGTCTACACATATTCTAGATATCTAGATTCTAGATCTAGATTAGATAGCCTCGGCTATTATTTTAATTCATCAATTTAGATCACTAAATAAGAAACACACTACAGGGGCACTAAGTGCAAATGGGACTGCAATTGTACAGGAGTGCCGAAATCGCTCAGTTCAGCGGCAAAGGTGTTGCCTCCCTGATCCAATACTGCTCTACATCGATGTACAAGTTTAAAGTGAAAGAAATCTTTTTATGAGACACCAGCTGGCAACAAACACTGGATTTTTAGTCACCAAGTCCAAACTGTGTCAAATTGACTCAAATGCTTGTTAGTCAACTTAGTGCCTTTGTTGTTTTTTTTAGGGGGGGGGGGGGGGTTTGACGAAATCATCATCTGCGACCATCTGGACGGCTCAAAGCTTTAACGGTATCAAACAAGACAATCACAAAGAGAATGCGCTATTTTTGTCCGTAACGTCATTTGTTTACTTACTA